GTGATTTTGCAGGCGTCTATGGTGTCGTTAAGGTACGCGGCAGGCGCTTGTCTGCATCAAAAGAAATTTTGGATTGACACATCTTTTTAGGTCGTCTCGGTCTCGCTGGTGCTCGCCTTCGCGGTCGAGGGTATCGGGCGTAAGAAGTGCCTCATTATCGGCGGGCTGGGGCAGGGCGCGATGATGCTCTGGCTAGGCGGGTACACGGGCCTCCATCCCTCGACCAAGATCATCCCCTCGAGCTACGTCTCCATCATCTCGGTCTATCTCTACGCCGTATTCTACTGCATTGGATGGGGACCCCTACCGTGGGTCGTCGCGGCCGAAGTCGCGCCCAACCATCTCCGCACTGGCGCCATGTCGATCGCCATTGGGGTCAACTGGTGCGTCTCTCGTCTCGCGTCTTCAAAATATTTTTTTCGGACTAATATGTACCATCGATCCCAGGCTCTTCTCCTTCACCATCTCGAAAATCACGCCGATCATGCTCAACAACATCAAATACGGGACCTTCCTGCTGTTCGGCTTCTGCTGCCTCACCATGGCCGTGTGGGCGTGGCTCTGCCTACCCGAGACCACGGGCTACGCGCTCGAGGATATCGGGCTGCTCTTCGAGTCCGACGTGATTCTGCGCTCGGTGCAGGACGCGCCGGGAGGGAAGTGGTTTATTGGGGACAGGAGGGCGGTGCCGATTGAGAAGCTTAGGGAATTACATGGCCCGAGGGCGGAGGGCGAGGGCGAGCGGGATGTGGATGAGAAGATTACGGATGAGAGACTCGATTTGGAGAGTGGGAGGAAGGATTCGGAGGTCGATGTTATTTGACGTAGATACGAACACGATACTTACGAAGTTCTACACGAATTAATAGGGAAGATTACGCATAATTGCCTGTGCTTGCAAGTGCCGCGGAGAGGTGAAGCAGGAGAGCGGCCTGAAAAAGCAGCGATCGGTGGTGCCGTTGAAGTTCCATGGCGGTGAACCCCTTGCCCCCAAGGTCTGGAAAAAGTTCTTCTAAATGGGCCTTGACTTGCGTGGCCCCAAATTCGTCGTCATCCGCGAGCGCGGTAAAGTCTCCTGCCTCTATGATCTCCTTGAGGGCCGGATATGGATAACGGTTCGCCAGGGTCGCACTGCTCGAACCTTTCGGGTTCGAGTGGTTCGAACTACTCGCTGTGAAATCGAGATTCAGTGGACCTTGGGTACGATGATTAGGGTATATCGCAGTACCTGACATTGCCGTTGTCTCCTCCACGCCGGTTCCTGGGAGACCGGTCCACGTCCACGCAGCAAGTAGAACGCCGACGACCACGCACACTGAGACACTTACAAAGTACCCAAAAGAAATAGCGTGAAGGGCGGTTTGTTCGTCGTGATGACCGGGGAAGTTTCGATCTCCAGGCCTTTCCAACTGCATCGCGTTGTCGCCTTGGGCAACGACACTCGGACCACCGACGGAAGATTCCTCAAAAGAATTCCTTTCTGTTTGAGTGCCGGTGTCGGTCGTACGCAAGGGGAGGCCGGCCTGGATAACCCTGCATCGAATATCCTCCTTGATCTGCTGTGGCATAAAGTGCACACACAGGGTCACGTAGAAGTGGAGACAGCGGGGGTGAAATCGCAAGGAATCGATGAACTGCAGACCTGCTTTTTTTTGGTATATGATGGACTCGGGGCCTGTGGGCGTGGTAGAATTTGCGAGGCCCCCGCAAGTCGAAAATGCGGTCAAATTCTGCGCGCTCGGAACGTTGAACCATAAGACCAGCTTGGCAAATAAGTAAGAACTAGACAACGATGATATGACTTACTCCGGTCGGGGGATGGGTTGCATGAGCATTCTGCAGATCCCGGTGGACATGTAGAGACGGAGCCATTGATTGTCCATTAAAAAACTGGTCAATGGGCCTTTCGCTCGATGCGACGAAGGTTGGCGGAGGCCGACGGATGTCGCTGAAAAGGAACGGGAGGGATGAGGCCATGTCCTCTCGTACATTTTCCGGCACACGCTCTTGCATCTGGGTATGAATCCGGTGCAAGTTGCGGCACACCGCAGAAAATATTGAGGAGCCGATATATCGATGTATTATGTGCGTGGCCTCTAAGACCTCTTTTTCGCCCGTGATAACGCAGGTGGCGCCATCGGACTGCAGGGTGTCCATTCTGAACTACATTGTGGCCATAGTGAATGAGTGTCCGCTTCACAAAAAAAGAAACATGGTATTTACCTCAGGATGCCGAGGTCCATCGGCTGCATCCCCTTTGTGGGTGCGCAAGGCTCGGGTCATCAGATACGAAAGCCGACTCGGCAAGACTAAACAGATTCGTCGGGTCGGTTTTCATTGTAAAGAAAAAATGATGAATACACCCACGGCTTAATGTAGGTTTTGTGGGAACGATCCAAACCCCCGATCCAGCAAGAGCGGGTAGGAGGCTGCCGTCAAGCTCCGTCGGGGTAAGTTCAGGGCCCTTGGAAGATCCGAGGCGGATGTGATGAACGCGATAGGACGGGCTGTCGACATATGGTTCGGCAGGACGAGGAATACCGGGTATGCCGATATGGAGTGCGCAAGCAGCCGCGAGCATGTCGACGGTTAGCCGCTCAGCGGTATAGTCGGGAATTGGAGTGACGCCGAGGGGCATCCAGTCCGAGTCGATGTGGTCCACAACGGGAACCACGAAAACAAGTTGTCGCTCCACAGGGTCGTCGGACCAAACAGTGACGGTGAACGCTCCTTGTAAGGAATGACCACCGTCCGAAGTAGACATGGCGTGTGCCGCGGAAGACTGGTGAAGGAAGGAAACCCGTTTGTGGACCCCTATTTACGAGCTGAATCACTACATTTTTGCCCCTTTCATGCTTGTCCGGATTGCACTGGATTTTTGCATATAACTTGAGCATTTTCTGCTACTTGGACTAGAAGCTCGAGATTGAGTTTTGTTAGGATTTGACGTTTCCTTGCGGTCGCCTATCCCTCCTTCCAAACTTTGGGAACATCAAAAGGTCTATTATATTCTCGGGAAAACGAAGCGGCGACAAACTCAGCGCAGGACTCCGTGATAACTCCTATACCCCGAAGGCTGCCCAGGCAGCAGCGACGACACCGGTCTGGCAGTTACTACAAGCGGTCCTTGGCGTTGTGGCTGGAGTTGGGCCTGCGAGAATCTGGTGCTCGACGTCTCGGAATCGACGTCCGCCAACGTCAAATAATAGTCGCAAACATGCAACGTCGAATTTTGCGTGAAGAACTGTTCGATGCCCCAAAATGTCCCCATACGAACCTTCTTGGCGAGCTGTTGCACACGGTCCGGCAGTAATGAACGGAGGGGGCCCTCGCCGATACGGCCTGTGAAGCAGATTCTCGTATCCTTCGGCTCGATCTCGCTTGTTGAACTTACTGCGGTTATTGAATTACTTAACATGAGACGATGGATAGGGACGCACAGATAGTGGTGTCGCCGCTAGCCCCGTACCTTGACAATTCATACCACTCTCCACATTTGTCCGCATCTGTCAACGCAGCGGTGCCATGAAGCTGGGATATATGTATGGTCAAAGAATTAACGCAGTATCGAACCACTTACAACCGCCGCGACAATATGTCGTGTCTCGTGAATCATCGTTTTCGCCGCTGCAATCGCTAGGACATCGATTCCGCGCCCACCGTTTGGCGCGGCGTCAATGACCTTGTTCTTGACCAGATCTTCGATTCGGGGCAGAAAAGGAAGGATGTAGATGTCATGAGAGTCGTCAAGGCGGCCGTGAAGCGCCACCGCTGACGACAGATCCTCCGAACCGGGGTAGACCGAGGCGAATTTGTCCAGATCGTCCACTTTGACGAGACGCACAGAGGCAAGGGCTAGTCGGATGTCACTTATTATTGCGCTGACCGTGGCATTCGGTGTCTGCGCTCGGTACTGAGCGACCCAATCCCGCTCCTCCTGCAATCCCTTGTGGGGGTCTTGTCGCGCTGTGACAGAACCGGGCCAAAGGGTGATGATAGACCCGTAGATATCGAAAAGCGTGTCTTCATCGGCCGTGGCCAGTGAATGAAGGGTTCGGCAGCAGACCTATCCAACCTGAGAATTTTCGAGGGGCAGATGCGAAAGTTCCTCTTTCCAAGAAGGGATTGTGGCGGTAAGTGTATCATGGCCAACACAGTGGAATTTTGCTTGCTCAGCGAGGAGGTCAAGGAGAGGTTTGGGCGTCATGGGAGGCAAGGAGGACGGTGGGGGACCGAGCCCCTATTCAGTCAGGCGGCTGTGTACGAGGTTTCAAGCTGGCGAAACTTGGGCGAAGCTACAAAAAATCTAGTCTCTTCTAAACAGACGCTACAACATAAAAAACTCGTACCTCGTTATGTTATACAAAAAATCTACACTTGACCACGAACGACTTCCGGATCCCAAAATTTGGAGGTGACAAGCGCCAAATTTTGTTCGTTGAAAGAGTTGCGAGCTTCCCGACGCGTCCATTGAACGGGCGCGCCGCGCCTGTTGCGGGGAACACGAGGGTGAGCTCGTCGGATTGCGTGTACGCGAGGCTCGCGGCGGGGAAGTATACGAGCAAGTCGGCCGCTAGTTGCGCCATGGCGGCGTGCAGCCGCACGTCGAACGGCTTGTCGAAGCCGCGCGTGAACTTGGAGAAGCCGTGGCCGTCGACTCGTATGATCATGGGCTGGTCGTCGGGAAGTAGCTGCTCTGTGCCTGCTTCGTACCGCTTCATCCGATCCCCAAGGGTCTCTGGAACGGTGTCTGCAGGTGCGCTCGACATGGTGGCTTCAAATAAGTTGAATGGATTCGAGTCCAAGGTTCCTAGTCAATTTAAGTCATCGGTGAGTGAAAGAAGCTATTTTTGATGGCTGATCGGAGCATAGTACCAAAAGATAAACGCCACACCGCTGCCTTGTCGGACGCTACGATGTGTACCCACAACCTCCGAAACCCTACAGATTTTACTCGCGGGAGTCCGATAGAGCTGCCCGACCGGGGATCCATTTATATTTACCACCTGGAGGATTCGAACCTCCACCGGCTCGCTTCGGAATTGTGGGGATGGTTTTGAAGCGAGTGGATTACCAACTGGACCATGGTGGGTATGCTAATTTCATGCACATTGGTCTGAGGTATGCTCAGGACCGCAGGTCATCTTTGGCTTTGAATTCGTGGCGAGATCTTCGCCATTACTTAATTTTTCACAATAGCAGTTGAAAACCGACATTCAAACGACTGCAGAAAACGGATAAGACTCAGGATAGTTTGATGGTCCAGATTGAATGGACTTTTTTGTGGTCCCTCGAACTGACGGAGGAGATTGAGCAATGAGAATCTTCAGCATTTGAACTTACGGCATCTACTGACATTCGGCGTTCGGACCGAAGTCAGTACTTCTTCCCACCAGCCACAACGGGCCTTTAAAGCTTCGGGTTCAACTGAAACTGTGCGCTGTTCTCTCTTTCCGGGTTTTGGGGCCCTGAACAATGGTTTCAAGAGTCTACACTTCTCCAATTTCAGCAAGTTTAAACATTCAGCCCAACCAGCCTCCGCGTATGCGACAACCGCTACTACTGTGACTTCACGGGCTACTGAACCAGGCAGCTGAAAAATATTCAAGCCACTCAATACCCTTCCGGTATCGCCCGATGGTGATAGCACTTCCATTCCATTCTTAGCAAATTCTTAGTGCCTGAAAGTTGACCGCGCCTCCCACCTTCCTGCGGTGCCATGACCACCATATCCATCGACATAGCAGCCATATTCCGCGAAATCCGCCTCACGGTGCGCGAGATCACGAACGAGCGCGCAGCAGCGAATGAGAAGCGCAAGGCGGCGCAGCTGCTAGTGTACCGCGCGCTGTCGCTCCGCCCGGCGCTGGATCACATGAAGCCGCCCACGGGCATGCTCGCGGACGTCGACTGGTACACGGAGCTGCGCGCGACCTTCAGTGCAGGGATATTTCGTCGTTTGGGTGCGGGCTGTTTCTTCCTGCGGTTGCCGGGATTTATTTAATACGGATGCTCTTGCTTAGGACAGAACGAGCATTTTAAGCGGATGGCTTCACTCGGGGGCACGGGGGCGAGGGCGCGGATCATGCTGCTTCTCCTCTGGATTATTGGGCACCGGTTGTCCGAGGATTCGGTTGCGAGGCTCTTGTCCACAGCTTTTGGAGACGCCATCAAGCGCGACGACTCCGAGAACCAGGATTTAGAAAACGAGATTAACGCGTTGGTGTCGGTGAAAGAGGTCCTCGTTAGCCTGCGCAAGATGATCAAGAGGAAGCTGCCGCTTCCATCAGGTGGGTGGTTCATGAGATTGTATTTTAAATCATCAACTCTTAAACCATATTCGCTACAGATAGAAACCCCTTCCTGGGTCACGATTACACGCCTGAAGACGAAGATAAGCCCCTCCCGCGTTCAGAACTCTGGGGCTACGCCCTGCCGGAAGACGAAAGATACGAATACGACGTTCGGAACAATCCAGCTCTCCTCATCCGCCCGCTTCCCGGCAAAACCATCATACCCCAGACCAAGCTCACGATCCTCATCATTCAGTGGGCGGCGTGTAACTTTGGTCTCGGCAAGAAAGTATACTCTGCCGAGGATATCGACCCCGATGCCTTCTGGAATGCCGATCCTCCGCCAGCAGCAGAACACGATGGTGAGGATGAAGATGAGGACCGCCTCTCGCTCTCCAGCTTTTCCTCCCGCGGAAGTTTCGTGTTGGAGATCCACGAAGGCGCTGCAACCGCGCCGTACGATGCTGAGTGGCAAGACGACCCAACGGAAGACTGGGTGCACTCCCGCTTCTGCTCGGTCTACCCGCTTCATGGATGGGTGCACCGCAGTTTCGTGCGCGTCCTTCTATTCAACTCGTTTTGCGGGACGCAGACACTCCCTGAGCCGTCCGAGATACTGGGCGCTGTTCACGTCGCCGACCGTTTGGTTCAACGACTCCCTCCGGATATTTGGGACTATGCGCAGCAGTTCATTATCGCGCGTGCGCTCCTATTCTCCGAGGCGGAAAACAAGACCCAGACGTGGGACCCCGTTTTCGCGGAGCTGTCTCCCCGAGAACGCGGGAATACGGTCATTTTCGTCGATGCGCTCCGGTGGATCGAAGCTGCGCGGGACGTTGGGTACCCGCCCTGGCTCAAACAAACTGCAATTTTCTTGCAGAACCCGAGGGCATTGTGCCAAGACGCCCCCGATATCCTGGCATTGCCAACATTATCCTCCCGGGACACGCGAAGCAGCATGAACGTCCTCCCGAAGCTCGATCCGTCAACGTGCATCTGCGGCGAATGCGCACTCATTGAAGCTCAGCAGCCATCGAGTCTCGAGTCCTTTCGCTCGCAGTACCTCGTCGTAATGTCCTCCCGCCCTCAAGGCTGTGAGGCACTCGCGCGGACCTGGGAGCCATTGATATCCACGGCGGAAACCTGGCTGGACGCGCTCCTGTCGCGCGTCGAGAGTCAGTTCGCCTTGTTCCCTGACGTCGACCGCCGGATGGGCCCAGCCGTCCTCGAGACCGCCAACGCGATGGGCGTGGTCGTGGGCTCTCTCCTCTCGGACCAGGACCTCCTCCGGTTTTTCGTGGCACTCTGTATGCTTCAAGATCACATTCCCGTAGCCATCCCGAAACCCCCGGGGCCTTTTGGGCTGGGGTATGTTGTCACGCTGCCTTGGACTGCGGATCGCGAGGATTACAAGGCTGATGTTGAGGGTCCCGATCGCGTGTTGTTCGCGACCGGTGGATGGCTGTATGACTCGATCGGCACTGAGGGCATAACGCTTCTGCATCAGGGGGATGAGTTCAAGGTTGTGTATCGGACGAATATGCCGGGCAAGTTCTCCGCGGTGTGCATGCCGCAATTCAAAGGCGACTTTGTATCGCTCTTTCCTGACCTCCTTCCCGTCCTTACGCAAGGCGCTCTTGCAGGTTCGGAAGCTATCGAGGAGCAAGACAACACCATGGAGTTGACTCTGGTGTTGAGCCGCCTCCCAACCGACGGGTTCCCACTGCTTTCTGTGTGCTCAGAGACGGCGTTCGCCGCACCGCGTGGTTCGTTGGCGGCTCTCGTCCGTGTAAAATGTCTAGACCGTGTCTTGGAGACGGTTTGGAGGCCGGATCTCAAGCGTGGTTCGCCCTGTGAACATACGGCCTCTTGGAGACGCGCAACACGACAGTCACTGACGGCCACCGACCTCATTGGGCGAGTGCTACCTCCGTCCGACTCGTCGACAGACGTACCGACACTGACGAAGTTGGCTTTTGCGAGTTCGGATGAGGTGGCTGCTCAAAGCCAACAACGGCTCAGGGAGATGATGGAGGCGTTGTCGAGGCGAGTTGAACCGTTGACAGTGGCTGGGTCGCCGCTGGAACGCACCAGAGCCGTTATTGTGAGGTGCGGAGTGAAGGATGGACCCGTTGATGCAGTTGCTGTACTCTCGGCGTCCGTGCGGAAGAAGGTCTATATTTTCGATCGAAGGTGAGTTCGTTTTCTGCTGTTTCCGCATCACTGAGGTTGAACGCAGCGAATGCTGGGAATGCGCTTTGATTCGCATGTCAGAAGATGGCAGGAGTGTTGGAATATCGATAGATACAAAATATTGAGTGCATTAATAATGACGATGACGGGTAGTGTAGGTGAGCCAGCGCGTTTGCGCATGGAGGGCGGAACGAAGGTGGTGGTGCGGAGCAAAACCGTTTTCGGACAGCTCGTTTATGATGCTATTGTTGATCCAATCATTTGGTCCCTATTTTTGGTTGGTCCGAATAGATCGAGTCCAATGAAGGTCTGTGTAGGTAATTCTTTTTCAATGGAGAATCTTGTTTTGTGCAGCGAGTCAACACTCAGAACAGAAAGTCCAGTTGAATTCAGGGTCACGTTCAATTCGGGAGACGTTGTCTGTTTCTACCTAAAAGCTAATCAATTTGACGTTCGCTGTTCAAGACTTAGTATGAACACTTATATAACAGATCAGCCGGATAGTGCCACTTTTCAGTGCGTCTGCATTTCTTGGGCGATATGAGCGACTAAAATCTTTGCCAAAGATTCGTGCATTGGATGCAGTTTAAATAGGAGCACCGCTTTCGTAGCTCGGGAGGGCAAAGGTAAATGTGGCGCATCCTGGGACTGTATCTTTCTATCGCAGTATACCGACAACATTGAATGTATTCAGCCGTGGTTTGAAGTGAACCCGAACTTTAAAAAATGGTGCAAGCACTGCGGGGATCGTTTTCCGGATATCAAGATTTTTTCCCAGTAAGTTTCTCCAAGCTGGAGAACAAAGGGTTTTTTCTCCTATTTCCTCAGCGGGACCTTCCTGGCTGGAAAATCAATGGAAAATGCATTGTTTTCCGACAGGCAGAAACGAAATTTCTCCCAACGCGGACCGGTCATCCGAAAATTCTCCGGCGGTGAGAACAGCTAATTTCCCCTCGAGGAGAACAAGTTGTTTGTTCTCCAGCTGGAAAAAAGCATGATATTCCCCTTTGTTGGGAGAATCTTGGTGGGACTTGTAGTAAAGAAATCCAAACTGGAGTACGGTTTGATCGCCGCAGTACGAGATGGTGTCCGAGATGATCCGAACACCGCCACGATTTCTCTTTTGCCACCAACATTGCGCCTAACGCGTCTCGAAATCGGCGCCGCACGGCGCTGGCGACCTCAACTTGGGCAGCATCAATTAACTGGCCTGACGATTACTATTGGGACGTTGAACGTCAGCTCCAGCGCATCTCCAGACCTAGCTTCCGTCAAGCTCCTCGGCCAGCTTTGCGCTTTTGATTGCCCCAAGGTTGCCAAACCACTGTCTCCGAATCTCTCCGAATCCTCCCTTGCCACAATCCATTACAAAAAACAATGGCTATTCGGCCTTTATCTGGCCTTTTCTAAGCGTCCAATTTTGCCCAAGGCACAATCACTTCTGAGCGCTCTCCAGTCCTTTTTGACGGTCCCTTGGCCCTATAATCTGCGCAATACACTTATGTGCCCCTGATGCCTTGGAAGTTGTTCGGAACCTATCAATCCAAACGTACACCTTATCTCGTCAAAACACCTTTTTAACACCGACAATCGCTCTTGGCATCCT